AACTAATTAATGAAAATTCATGAAAAAATTGATTTTAAAGAATTGATTTGTGCCAGGCGTATTCTTGAAATTTTCCCCAAAAAATTGGAAAGTGCCAAAAATATTTTCAAATCTGTGCCAAAATGATAAAAAAAAAACATTTAAAAATACCTTTTTTTTTTTTTTTTTGAGATTTTATATAATTTTTTATTTTTTATTTTAAATACCCGGCTTGTTCATCAAAATCAGAACCGACCAGTGACTTGTTTCGATTTTAAAATTTAACAAAGCTAACGAAAAGGTTAGAATTTGAACCACCCGATTTTTCCTACACTCGGGACACCTTTGATTCAGCATACAGGTCTAACATGTTTCTATTTACATTGACTTCTATCCTTTAAAAACCATAGGGAACACAACTTTGACTCTATGGTTCTAAACATTGAAATATTTGACTCTTTTTGTCCAATAAATATCATACTTTCAAATGAATATTGAAAAATCCAAAGCTCTCGATGCCCCTCTCTTTGAAATATTGGTGGTATGAAAAATGTACCACAATACAGACATAACGCAAGAAAAATCAATTTTAAATGCCTTTAAAGGTAAAATAACAAACCCAAATATGCCTCTGAGATGATAAAAGGCTTAATACATCATTTCGCTGCCATAGACAGCACAAAATAAGAAACCATATTTCCATTTGGATGGTAGAATAACACTCACAATCCTCTTTTATCATAGTAGACAAAATTGACAAAAAAGAAAAGAAAAAAAAGAGGTAATATAAGCCAGTCTTTAGAGTATTGAAAGACAAATTTTCTATGGAAAATATTTTATTACCTTTTCTTGGTGTCATCCAATTCAGTTCAGTAAAGTAAGAACTTCCTTCATCCATAAATCACTCAATATATAAATTTTCATCACAAAATATACATGCATTCCCCATTCTCAATGGTGCAACCACAGAAAAAGTTTTTCACCACAAACAAAAACACATTCGCACATACATGGGGCAAAAAATGGATTTGAACTACCATTAAGGGTGTCATTTTTTATATAAAAACCCTAATTTATCAGTAACATCATGGCAAGATAAGAGAAGAAAGATATATCAACTAAAAAAACATCAACTAATACTACATGAAACCATATATATTTGCTTGTCAAAGAGTACTAAGATTTATATACATGTTAATGTAGTCCATATGATGTACTTTTTTTTGTTAAAGTCAAAGTTTAGGGATTTTCCCTCTACAAGTTTATGTTCCGGGCTAATTTGATGGAGAATATGGGGTTGGATGAAGAGGAAGAGAGAGCAGAGGAATTCAAGTGCCTTCTCCTCTTGTAGTTAGCCTTGAAGCAAGCCTGCCTAAGCTTCTTTGTCTTCTCAGCCAATTGCATTCCTGGCATTTTCTCCATCAAATTCCTCTGCTCTTCAAGTATTTTAATGGCGTTTCGGATCTTCTCTTCACCCATTTCACCATCTTCTTTACCCAGTTCCTGAATTAATGAAAACAAATATATAAATCATTTATAATGAATCAAAAAATAAATGTAAAATATTGAGAGTGATTTATGTACTGACTTTAAAATTTTAGGTAAAATAAGAAATGCTTTAATTATAGGTGAAAATTACAAAGGTTGGTCAACCCACTTTCTTTTTATTTTTTTCAAAATTGTCTCTCGGTCAACCTGAATTTTGATTATTTTTTTTTAAATTTCGTTTATTTTTTTTTGTTAGTAGGGCCGTGCCTAAAAGCTTGGAGCACTAACCTACTAATGAAAAAATTTTGATAGAAAAACAATTTTGGAAAAAATAAAAAAAAGACGGGTTGAGTAATTTCCGCGTATAAGCATAGCATTTTACATTTTACCTAAAATTTTAAGATTTGTATGTAAATCACTCAAATATTAAAGAATTTTCTCTTCTTGTGTATAAGAAATATACACGAAATGAGTTGAACTTTGAAGAGAATAAGAGAGAGACCTGAACATTTTGAACAAGACTTTGAAGGCTTTTCATCTTCCTATGTGGCCATCTAGGAATACCAAATTCCCTGCACTTTTTCTTAAGAACAGTGAGGCCCACCTTCAGTACCTTTGCGGCTTGTGTAATGGGCATGTAGAAATACCTTGACAGTTCTCCATATGTAATATACCCACTACATTTCTCCACCCTCCTAATACCCTCCTCCTTGTAAAAAAGAGATCTTTCTCTCTCTTCTTCTCTCTCTAAACTCCCACAAAAATTATCGCCATTTTCCCTCACAACTATCAAAACTACTACTAACATCTCCAATCAAAGTCACTTCAGTGCTCTGCAAATCATTGAATTCCTCTTGCAAAAACCCTAAAGCATAATCACTAGATAACCCCATACTATTATCCGAATAACCATTGTCATAATAACCATTGAATGCATTCTCGAACCCTTCTGCAAAAAAAAATGCAAGGAAGAAAATCCTGTCAGTTCGAAAAAAAATTTCATGGGTCTTCTGCCTTTCTGTCCCCATGGGAGAAAGAGAGCAGTGTTCAAATACTCGGGCATGCCAACCCGGACTCCCCTGAATTCGGGAACATAAAAAAGTTTCATAAAATAATAAAAAAATTCCAAAAAATAAGAAAAAGATTTTGATTTTTGTTAATGTTTTCTACCATTTTGGCAGAGATTAGAAAGAGTTATGGTGATGAATACTTAATTTTTACAATTTCCCTTCTAATTGAATTATTTCTAAAATACTCCCGGTCACAAATTGATTTTTTTAAGAAAAAGGTTTATATAAGGATACTATCTTATAACGTATAACTACGGATGCCCCTCAAAAATCCATCCGAAAAGGTAGTTTTAATATTGAAAAACCCTTTGATTGATCATCTCGACATCGACATGTACAGATTATGAAAAATAAAAAGATTTTAAGTCTCAGAAAAAGTGCATTTTACAACATATTATCTACACCTTCCATTCTCAAGATTTTCATATGTTTGTAGATCTACTTGATTTT